TTATTGAGTGTATTTGGCATACTGATGATACTATGTAGTTTATACTTTAGCTTGTTACGTGGTTGTTTGGTTGATGCAGCTGCACACTATTAACATTCCTTCCCTTTGTTGGTGCTGCCCCTGCCCCCTCCCTTTGATGCTGATAATCCTGCATAATGCATGGGCATAATATGACTTTGAAAACCCCCCACCCACCTCCCACGCATTTCACAATTAACACTATTCACATTCCTACATTTCCCATAAATATGCTAAATTCCTCTTCAAATGCAAATTCTTTTGTCACGGTGCTCTTCCTCCTCCCTCCCAGCTTAAATAGATGCTCCAAGCCTAGGACGTGTCATTCAGACTCTGTCTTATCGACAGACATGTTCTTCACCTGAGGACAGCTGCTTGCGTTGTGGCCAAAACGTCGTGAGAATTGTTTTATTATGTTTTATTTTTATTATTTTATTACTTCCCTACTACGTGACTTTACCGAAAGAACCAAGAAAATGAAATATTAGTTTTGTGCACACAAACATTATGATTGTAATATTTGGCAATGTATTAGTTTGATAATAGTAAACAATGAATGTGAGTTGTTATCTTCACACAAACATTATATAAATATCTGGCAACTAATAAGTTTCATAATAGTAAACAATGAACTTGAGTTGTTATCTGCACACAAACATTATAATTGTAATATCTGCCAACTTAATTGGTTCATAATAGTAAAGAATGAAAGTGAGTTTTTATCTGCACACAAACATAATGACAGTAATATTTGCAAGTGATTAGTTTCATTATAGTCAACAATGAACCTGAGTTCTTATCTGCACAGAAATATTATTATTGTAATATATGCCAACTGAATTGTTTCATAATAGTGAACAATGATCCTGAGTTGTTATCTGCACACAAACATATAAATATCTGGCAACGAATAAGTTTGATCATAGTAAACAATGAACCTGAGTTCGTATCTGCACACAAACATTATTATTGTAACATCTGTCAACTTGTTTCATAATAGTAAACAATTAACCTGAGTTGTTATCTGCACACAAACATAATTATTGTAATATTAGCAAACTTATTTGATTCATAATGGTAAGCAATGAACATGAGTTATTATCTGCATACAAACATTATAATAGTAATATATGGAAACTGATTTGTTTAATAATAGTAAACAATGAAGCAGAGTTGGTATGTGCACACGAAGATAAATCTTTTAATATCTGGCAACGTATTTTTTTCATAATAGTAAGCAATGAAGCAGATTTTTCATGAGCACACAAACATTATTATTGTAATGTTTGTCAACAAATGTGTTTTACAAAAGCAAACAATGGACTTGAGTTGTTAGCGTAAGAATCAAGGAAATTTGTACTTACCATAGCCGTATTGAGGCCTAGTGCCATGCATAGCCCCCGTCCTGGCCTACATTGGCTAGGCGGCGGAGTTGGCACGTTGCCAGGCTAGGGGCTGGGCCACTACCCCCAACACCCCCCCACATCCCCCGCCCGTGCAAGAATAATGGGATGGAAGCAGTAAAATATTATTATCTACGGAGTCTGTAATATAAACTGGATGCATCGTGTTGGGGGGGGGGGGCGAAGAGGACATCACACTGGGAAGAAATATTCGCAGCTTTATGTGTGTAAGTATTGCCTGTAAAACGCGTAAAAGGAAATGTCCCCCGTGAGCTGGAGCGAACGCGCATCATTTGGCAGGGTCTGCTCACCCCCCCCCACGCAATTTTCGTGAGTTGGTACGGTCGATGTTGCACAATAAGTATATAAATAATAATAGAAACGGCACAAATGTGTTAATTAAACTACTTTAAAGTTTACGGATGGGAAAACGGAATAGCCTATTCCCACCGCGGGGCTTAGGGCCTGCCGCCTAGCAAACATTTTTCTACGTGAAGGCCACCGTCCGAGAGCCAAATCCCCCGCAAGCGCGAGCGCGCGGAGACTTTTATATATAAAAAAGAAAGAAGAAAAGAAGAAAGAAGAGAAGATAAGATTAGCGGTAAGTACCCGGCGTTGTCCGGGCAAAAAAGGCAGACACACACATGGACTTACACACAGACGTCGACCTACACACATAGAAACACATGGACTTGCACGCACACACACACATATGGACTCACACACACAGACATCGACTTTAGACACACAATGTAGTTACACACACAAATCGACTCAAACACACATAGTTACACACACATATCGACTCACACATACATACATAGACTGAACAACAACAACAGCCATTCGCTACTAAGTGGCGGTGCCATCACCACAACGCTTGTGCCAGGCTATGTGCACCTTGAGGTCACGTGAAGTGTCGAACGCTCGCTGGCAGGAGGTCACGGGGCAGACCCAGATAGCACAAGTCGACTGACTGAAACGACTGGCTGATGCAGCACCTGTGCCCCCTACTGTGGCAACTTGCTGTGCTTTAGGCACCCGGCGTTCTGCTCGTTGTTGTGAGCATCGCTCCTCCACCATCCGTTGTTGTTTCCCAGTAGCATCCTTCAGGAGCCTCCTCTACATAGGCCGATCTTGACACGGATGGTACCAGTCATTGGCAAGTCCACTCAGCTCCACGTGCTTATGTACCACATCACTCCCATCTCTTCTCTAGCCCATGCCACGCCCGATTAGCCCCCTCGATCCGGCCGAACAAAAGCTGTTTAGGCATGCGGTGGCTGGGCATGCGGCCTACATGACTCAGGCAACGCAGCCTTGCCTGCCGGAGGAGCTCACCGATGGGACTTTGTCCACATCTTTCAAGGATTTGTGAGCTCCTCACACAATGCAGCCTGGTTAAACCCAGGATGGATCGTAGGCAGGCCATCCTAAATGTTTCTAACCGGCGAAGATGTTCCATTAGGGGGGTCCAAGTTTCGCAAGTGTAGCGGAGGGAATGACCGTGGCCGAGAAGACCTGAAGCTTCGTGTGGAGTGATAGACCAGGTAGCTTCCACACAGCATTACGAAACCGATGAAAAGATAATGTTGCTCGACTGATTCGGAGTGAGACCTGTGCTGTTAAACCGGAGCTGGTCATTAGCACACTGCCAAGGTATGGGGAACTCTCCACTCTCTCCACAACTGCCCCATCACCAATTGGGAGTTGTGGGGGTGCAGTGTCTGATGGTACAAAATACCCAGGCAGGTGCTTAGTTTTGGTGGGGCTTGTTGTATACTAACCCTTCTTCCAAAATTGAGATTAATAATATTTGATGATATTTTTATATATTATCTTTTTACTTGTTTTTTTTAATGAATGAAACACACCAAAGCGCAGCAAACTGCAAAACACCAGGGGTTGTTAAGTAATGAACTGGAGGAGGGCTAGGATGGCAGAATTTGCAACCTTGCTTCAAGGAAAGATAAGGCCTGATGAACGGGCACATGTCACCCGTGCAGGCGGCAGAGACAGTGGGAGTGTCAGCCAGACATAGTTAAGGCAAAAAGCCCAACCATCCTGCATGGTTTTAAAGTAACGTCAAAATTCGAAATTCAACAACAGAGTAGGCTAAATTATCGATCCTCGCGCTCGCTCAAATTGGAGACCAGGCTGCGAGCTACATCAATGAACCATTGCCCATTTGCTAATCCAATACTGAATGTTAATATTACTGAAGTCAAAACGAATTCTATGACCTCAGCACATGGGCAAATAATAGGGCAGTGTCGACTCAAAGGCAATGGAAGAAAGCAGAGGCGCCTTTGTCTAAATCACAACCACAGAAAGCCAGGAATCATCACTGATTGTGTGTTTAGGGATTCCGAGCTAGTTGGAACACGTGCACACAGGGGGGAGGTAGAAGTACGCCTTGTCCTCCTGCAGCTGAGGGAGCAAAGATAAACCCAAAAAGGCCAAGGAATTAAATTATTAAATCCAGGGTGAGTGGTCAAATGAAGTGGGTCAGCTCAAGGCTGTGTGCACAGGGGAGGGAGCTGATTTAAACAACCCTGCACGTCTGAACGTGAGGGGGCCTTTGACCTGAAATTAAGAATAACACTCCCAGAGCAGAAGGTTGGATGGCCACAGTGAGACGAGAATAAGAGTGTTGTATATCTCTCAAGGATGCAGACCCAGCTGAACAACAAGGCTGCGGGGGTCACCAGAAGTTCGCGTTCGCCTAGTTAAGACAAAAAGCTCAATTATTCTGTATTGCTATTAAAGTAACGTTAAAGTCGGAATTTAACAACAGGGTAGGCTAAAGTTATTGATATTCACACCCACTCCAATTAAACCAGGCCACAAGTTACGCCTACTGAACCATCACCATCATTAAGTCAATATGAAATGTTATTTCCATACTTTAATACTTTCTATACAACTCGACCCGAAGCATATGACAATCAGAACCTTCCTAAGTCAAAATTGAATCGCACCCAGACAGGAGCGAATAGTCGATATAAGGTTGAAGAGGGAAGGAAATTAAGAGCACGGCGAACTGCAAACGTAAGCAAAAAGCCGGGAACGACACCAGCCCAGCAACAGCGAGTCGGGCTTCGACAGGCCATAAAAGTAGAAATAATAACTCCCGGGGTCAGGGGACACAAGAAGAAGCAGGCAGACAAAAACCAGAACTGACTCCAAGGTTCAACCGCCCTCACCTACAAGGAGTGACGGAAATTAATGAGGCCTTGAGTTAACGGCGTCAGCTGGACAGCAACAACAACGGCGAGCAGAGATAGGGTGGGGCAAAGACTGCGGGGCTATGGAATGCAACTTCGTGTCAGTAAAGCCCTGACAAACAAGTTAAGTTAAAGACATCACAATACATAATATCGTACATAACATCAATGTTAACGCTATTCACCGTAAACTATATTCCGCTTATATAACCATGCAGACACCAAGGAATACGAATTCCTAGGATCAAGAAACTTACCCCTTAACCTAAGATATCGGAAATAAATTAATAATAATAAGCATATGCATGAAAAGACAAAAGTAAAACTTATGGAAAAGCCAGGATAACGGGATGAATCACCACCAGGTCGAATATAAATACATAATAAAAAAAAAACGATGTTAAACCCAGGGTCGGAGAGAAAGGGAGATCCCGGCCGTCTTTGTATCCCCGCAGCGCGGGATAGGAGTGTGTATACGCTCGGGGAAACACCTCCACTTGAGTCAAGCACCACGATGGGAAACGACAGACCTTAGGTTACATACAGAATCATAACTGTGAAATAGTAAGGGACAAATGTTAACTTAAAACTTTTTAACCATTTCTTTGTGCGCCGGGTCGGAGAGAGTGTTGCCCCTCCCTCCAGGTTGTGCAACACGAACAAAGACGCCTATGAGACGATTTGTAACGTCTGTGTTTTGGGTTCATGAAGAAGGCCAGACAAGAGATAATATTGCACCCAGACAGAGAGACGACTTCGAGGCAATTTGTAACATCTGATTGTTTGCTCGTGGGTTTTATGGAGGGAGTGTGACAACGGAATATACCGTGGGTGATGCACGCAAGGACATACGGACGTACGGACACACACATGGACACACCTGCCTACGGACAGATCCTGACACAGCAAAAATCGAAAGAAGCCCCGCCTTGTGGGCGGGATCCAGGGGGATTTTTCGGCATAAAGGAAAGGATCCTGAGCATTGGAAACTAGTGCGACCAGCGGGTCGACTCAGGAGCGAGCTCGACCGGGAGGGTCGGCTCAGGAGCGAGCTGCGACCAGCGGGTCGGCTCGACTCATCTTCAGCTCGTCTGGGACTCAGCCGAGTTCGATCGGCTTACCAAAGCCGGCTCTCGGGGCTCGACTCAAGCGGCTCCCCATCTCCTCTGCAGGCGGGCAAGACCCGCTTGACAGCTCAACTCGGCCTGCGTGGGTCAACCTCTGCCGAGTCGGAGGTCTCTGCTGCCGCCGGAGTGGTGAGGGTCGCGGTTTGGCGACGAGGCTCCGTGCACACCCTGGTCGACGACCCAACACTGCACGCTGCGAGCGAGTTGTGGGCGCCACCTACCGACCGGGTTCCGAACTGCGACAGCGTATCAACGGGCATCCGAACCAGTTCACCACGGTGACAGGGGAGCGACTGATACGTATGACGCGCACCGCCCCCTCACCACACGACCACCAGGCGTCTGTTTGACATAAAGAATCGACTCCGAACACTGACTATTCAAGACAACTCTTACCACTCAAACACACTCGAACCCATAAGCCATCCGTGGCTGGGAAGGCATCACAACGAGACCGAGTGATGGCCATCCGTCGTTTATAAAAGTATTCGTAATTTTTATCTTTAATATTTAGTGGGCTGTACTCTTAATCGCATAAATTCCCAACAGATCCATCAATACGAACTGATTCTTGGCACCTCCTTCCGCCGAGCCACGCTCACGTGGGGAGTGGTGGCCCACCGGATCCTTATCAGGTGATCTGGTCCCCAATTAGTAAACTTGGTATAAGATAACGATCTTCGGAAAAGGAGCACCGTCGCAGGCCCTTACTCCGAGCCGTTCTGTTGTCAGATAACCTGCCGATGTATCTGTTGAGATTGGTGCCTTTAAGAATAATAACTGTTTTTGATTGTGTTTTTTTATCGCCGTATAATCTTTCAAGTATCTTTCAGTCATAATCGCCGCACGTACTCGCATCCTCTACAGAATATTCAACTGTCCCGTGACCCAAGGTGCTAACAACGTGATAAGGGTTGCGTATGATCAATAAGGAGTGCGGTACTGCGTGAACAATATTGAGTATAATCATTCATTAACGTTAAGGTTTTCTTAGCATAGTATTTGCATATTTTAACGACTCTCTCTCTCACTAACAACCATCGCGTTATGCGGGATCCATGTGCCGTTGTCAAAGTGAAATCAGACAATCGTTGATGATACTGTATTGATGCCGTGTTGACGTTCCGGGATTGAGAGTTCGCATACTATATCATAGTTAAGGTTGAATTAGTAATAAATTGATCAATACAGAAGTGGTTGTGTGATTCTTTCCTGAAATCTATGCATAAGATCTGCTTCTGCGTCGAGATCTGAACTTGGTGACCTTAATAAACACACTAATACATACTCAGTAAATGTTAAAGCGATAACGGGGTGAACCGGGGACCTAAAATATAACCACGAATACACACTCTGGGAATGTTAAAGCGAGAATGAGACGAACCTAGACAACGATGCCGAGTTAATCTAAGTTAATCTTGCATACTTACACCACACCTGCATAACTGCATACGATTAATTGCCTTATTCCGATCGATAACCCACCCTCGTCACCGAGGCGGGGTCTGGTTATCATAACGACTTGCATTATCATAATTACACCCACTCGCATAATTAATACGATTACCTCTCGAATTGGCATAATTAAAATGTGCATAATTACATAATTAACATATTTCCGGATAATTACACATTTGGCCAAATTTCATTTAATTATTATTATTTTCACTGAATATTCATAACCCACATATACAACATAATAATTTCACCCGCGCACGCATACAACATAACAAATTTTGATAACCAACATATACAACATAATGGGGGCTCGTCCGGGATCTCTCGCAGACAGTTTATGCATGAATTCAGGAACGAATCACTGATGTGTTAATCAAAGTGTTGTGAACTAACGTTGCCTTGTGATTGTAAACGGGGGTATACAAACAAAACGCACTCTGAAGGGAAATACCAGAGTAGCAGAGTATAACAAAGACAGCTGGGCTGAGATTATTTGCTCGAGTTGAACTGACGCATCCTGTGATACAATTGTTTATATGTGCTCTGAAGGGGAATTCTAGAGTAACTCACGACGCACATGAGATGTTAGAATTAAGATACACTCTTAAGTCTATTAACCACACTACATAATAGAGATGGCACAGGATCCACAACATTCTGAGTTTGACACACCAACGCATAACACTGATACAGAGTGGACCTCTGAGGAGGAGATGGAATCTATGGAAAAACAATATCGGGAATTTGTGTTAAAACGTACTGGACGGACTGCTAGCCAGCAGACGGAGCAGAGAGATATGGGAGGGGAGCCATACAGAAGATGTTAAGGCCCATAGAAGGAAACTACTTAAGGACGTGATGAAATGTGGCAAAGCCAAACGTGACGTAAAAATTGCAGAAATAGCGAGGGTAGACTCGTATCTCCTCGCACAGACAGACAGAGAAAGATTATGGAATGAGGAAAAATTTGAAAGGGAGAGACAAGAGAAACTGTCCTTAATGGTGCAGGTAGAGCGTCTGCACACCCTCGTGAGAGAGAAAGAATCCGCACTAAATGCACCAGTGAAACACCCAGACGTTGATACACAGAACACATACGGGAGTAACAATTTACCACACTCCGAGCCACGTGGACGTAGCCCAGGGCCAGATCTCACAATGAGTATGGCTACTATGCAAAGCAATTTTGATAAAGTAACACCCTCGCAAATCGAGGAGAGAGAAGAGGAAATAATAATACAAACGGGAAAACATGAGGCCGACCACCCCAACGTTAGAGAGAGACAAATAATTAACCCTAAGTCATCAGGATACACTGTAATGATAGAGCGGAAAAGGGCGGAGCTGGTGCAAGACGGGAAACATGACATAAACAGCACACCAGGCAGACGCACGCTACGCAAGTATGGCCGACATGATGCAGATGACAAAGACAGCTCACCAGAGAAACGCACCTCGCACAAACACGACCAACACGACACGGGTAACAGGAGCTCACCAGAGAGACGCACATCACACAAGCATGAGCCATGGGATAAGCAGAAATCACCGAGCCAAGTTGACCCACGTAACAGGTGCAAAAGGCACTACAAAAGTTATGTTAAGCAGAGCCACCGTGATGGTGACGGCTCATCTGACACTGACTCCTCTGACGATGACCAACACGACATGGGTAACAGAGAGAGCTCACCAGAGGGACGCATGACATGTAAAAATCACCCATGCAAAACCACCCGCACCACAGATGACAGAGACAGGAATCCCGATAACCATGAAGCACGAGACAAACATAAATACAACACCTCACCTAGCAGGCACCACACACGTAGTAGGCAGCATGAAGGTCAAGGACAAAAACACTCACCACATAGACACCGCTCAAGGAGATCACGCACACCAACCCACAAGCACGAATCACAAGACCCACATAAGGAAAACAAGAGACACAAGCAACGGGACAGATACGAATCCTCGGACAGAGGGAGATCACGACACAGACACGGGACACATGACAACAGTGATAGTGGAGACAAGGGTAGCTCAAGGGAGCACTCCTCAGGAACCGACACCACTGATGACGAACAACACACTTTTAACAGTAAGACACTAAAACTAATGGACAAAGCACTCGTGAGAATTCCCTATTTCGATCCACATAACAGGAACAGGGATATACACACTCACATAGCTACAGTAGAACAGGAGGCTAAGATCCGGGGTCTGGGTAAATCAGCAGAAAAGGCATGTTTATTATCAAGGAGCCTACATGAACCCGCCAGACCATGGGTAGCCTCCCTGCCAAATAGGGTGAAGAGTGACTTTAAACAATTGAGCCGAGCAGTAGTTAAGAGATTTGGGGAATACTCCACACTATCCGAAGGATTGAACGCGGCAAAGTTGATGACCCAGCGTGTAGACGAAGACCCACGAGATTATCTCCTACGCCTTAAGAAAGCATATTACGCAGGGGACGTGGACAATGCCCAGGGAGATAAGACAGTCTTAAAAGTGATGTTCTTCCAATCATTGAGACCTGAAATAGTGAGAATAGTAGGAATGATGTTGGACCCCGAGACTGCCTCCCTACGCCAGATTGAAAGCAAGGCCCACACGGCCTGGGTGAACGGACGGAAAACCACTGGCATAGCCAAAACCCACATCGTCACCAGAGATAAAGAATGCCTCGATCTGGAGGGAAGCGAATCTCCAAGGAATAATATTAGCGCCACACGGGGTGGACATGAATTCCCCCAGGAGAGGGCGCCTAACCCAATAGAATCAACACCCGTCCACAACACGCTGAATAACGTTCCACGTGGGGGGAGGAACGAGGCCAGAGGAACCTGGCACCCACAGCCACCACCACCATGGAATGCAGAAGAGGGCGGAGGCTGGAATTATGGAGGAGGAAGAGCGAGTGACGGGCCATACCTACCCCGCGGAGGCCGACGCCCACCAAACCAGTCACCATATCGTCCCCCACTGCCGCCTCCACTAGCAATAGAGCATAGACCACCGTTAGCTAACAGGAATCGATATGCTCACCACATTAGGATGGAAAAAGAGCTCCTAGGGAGTATGAAGACTCCCATGCAAATAGCGAAGGGAAGAATACCAACTATACCCACACAGGAGGACACACCCAGCGCAAAGGTAGCCCAAGTGAACGTAGGGAAGACAAGAAGCCTCGAAGCAATCACCGAAGTGGTACCAGAGGGAAAAGGGTACCATCTGGGGGAATTGATTCCCGTAGGACCAGTCGGACGAGTCCACGTGGAAGTAATACTGCAAGACACCCTGACCAGCCAGGGCCTTTGTGATACTGGAGCAGAAATATCCATGATATCCAGAGAATTATTTGACGAACTCCAGACTGCCCTCCAGAGGAAGAAGGAAACACTACAAATGATGCCAAGTAAACTTACCTACTCAGGATGTGAAGGGACCCACATGCGACCATTGGGCAAAGTTATGACGAAGTTGACGTTCAACAAAATCAACATGAACCATCCCCTATATGTCGTACGGAACCCCGGAAAAGAGCTGATCATTGGGATAGAACTACTGAATCGCCTGAAACCCATTATGAACCTTGAATCCCGACGAATTTGGGCACAGTCAATGCCGGAGCAACAAAGGGACTCAGAAGATGAAGACGTTATGAGAGACTCCACGGGAATCCAAGTGATAACACAAGAGCTCAACGACCTATCAACGACAATCAGGAACGAAGACGAGCTCCCAGCAGGAATTCGAATCACTCAGCTAATGACTAACAGACTGAGAGAAGACCGAAAGGAAGCCGACTTAGAGTCAGTATCACCAAATGACCGTCCCCTCATGGAGTATATACCGCCCCCTGGAGGCCAAACCGACGAACTGCAAACTGATGAAGGAGAACACAAGGGCAAGAGCGTATTACCCTCGGATGAAGCCAAGGCAACTCAACCGATAGTAACGCAAAAGGAACTTTCAACCGAGCCGCCCGAAACCACGAAGGCCTTGGACCCAGACCCAGGACAAGGAGTCTCCATAATAGAAGAACAAATCGAACAACAAATTGAAGCAGCAGACGCCCTCGAGAACGACACTCAACGAAATGAGCTTCGTCAACTGCTCCACAAATACCACTTCCTGTTCTCAGAAGACCCCTATGATTGCGGCAAAACCGGCCTACACGTGGTATCTATTCCCACACTGGAAGGAGCGCCAGCGGTATATGTGAAACAATACAAGATTCCACTGGCTGCCTACGAATCAATCCAAGAAACCTTGGAGAACCTACTCAAGAAGAATATAATTCGAGAATGCAACTCAACCTACAACTCACCGATTTGGCCTGTATTGAAACCCACAGGCAAGTGGCGACTCACCATCGACTATAGGCAACTCAACAAAACGGTTCCCCTATCTCGATGGCCAATGGCAGAAATCGACCAGAATCTCAACCAAATAAAAGGCGCAAAAATTCTCACCACCATGGATCTATCAAATGGCTTCTGGACCATGCCCGTGAAAGAAGCGGATCAATACAAGTTGGCATTTACATTCAATGGAATACAGTATACTTGGAACCGATGTCCATTTGGATACTCAAATTCACCTGCGGACTTTAACATATTCCTACACAAGGCAATGGACGACGCAAAAGAGTGAGGTACCATCGTCTATGTCGACGATATACTGGTCAAGGACTCCTCATGGGAAGAACACCTCGAGAGCCTCCAGCATACCCTCGAGCAGTTAAAGGAAGCAGGCGCAAAGATTTCAATACAAAAAGGACAGTGGGCACGCAAAAGGGTGGACTACCTCGGGCTCCAGGTCGGCACTGAGGGAATGTTACCCCAAACCAAAAGACTTGAAGCCCTCCTCGCACTCAAATTGCCGACCACAGTCACGACCCTTCGGAGCTTCTTAGGGATTTGCAACTACCTTCGACAGTTCGTGGACGACTACGCAGGAATCGTTCGACCCTTAGTCAAACTACTGCAAAAAGACGAACCATGGGAGTGGGGACAGGAACAGGAAGCCGCAGAAAAAGAATTAAAACGACAGATCACAGAGGCATCCTGCCTAGCATACCCAGAGAAAGGGAAAGAATACTACCTGGAGACCGCATACTCAGATCATAGTATCAGCTCGGTACTGTACCAGAGACAGGAAGCAGAGAAACGAGCTATTGCCTATGCCAGCAAAGCCCTCCGGGGAGTGGAGATGAAGTTCTCCGAGTGTGAGAAGGCGATATTTGGAAACATCTGGGCCATACAACATTTTCGGAACTTGTTGAACGGAGAGAGGATCATCCTGGAAACGAATCATGAATCCTTGGCATACCTCAACAGTAAGAAGATTCGAGAGGGCCGCGTAACCAGCAGCCGAATAGCCAGCTGGGCACTGACACTCCAAGGCCTACCAATCACAGTGAAATACGCAAAAAACAAGAAAAGTCCAATGGCCCAAGGTCTTGCCGATTTACATGATTGTACCTTTGACAGCATAGAAGCAGAGGACGAAAAGATACCTCCGGAGGACAACAGGTACCTGCCCTTCAGGAAGGAGACATGTGCCGACCTACCAGTGGTATACATCGATGGATGCTCCAAGATGAAGGAGAACAAGCTTCACGCTGGGTCAGGAGTCATTTGGGAAACTGGCCCACTCACAGGGATTCAAGAGGGATTTCAGCTGGGACCAAAGTCAAACCAGTATGCAGAGTTGGTCGGGGTACACATCGCTGTCCAAATGGCATCCGATAACCAAATACGGACCATGGTGGTGTGCACTGATTCCAACTACGTACAGCACAGCTTCCTGCACCACCTACCCATATGGAAAAAAAACGAGATGAAGAACCATAGGAATAAACCAATTCACCATCGAGAACTATTCGAGGCCATAGATAAGATGGTTCAGAACAAGGATATGAAGATATTTTGGAAGAAAGTCAAAGGGCACTCCAAGATACCTGGTCAAGAGAAAACTGGGAACGACCAAGCAGATGCCATAGCAAAAGTGGGAAGCCTGGAAGGCACCCCGTGGAAGCTAGAAGACCAAACCGACAGAGACGGACAACAAGAGTCGACGAACCAAGACATCGCCGTGATAAGACTGGTCACAAGAAGTGGGAAGAACCCGGCAGAAGCTGGAACCAGAGCCCAATTGAACAGTGCCCAGCCTTCCGAAGACCTGATCAGAATGCAACAAGAGGACGAAACACTAAAGACACTCGCCGATCATATCCAAGATCCAGCAGGAAAACCAATCACTACTGACAACTTGAATGACAACAAAGAGCTCGAGATCATGCATAGCCAAATCAAAAGGTTCTCAATGCGAAAAGGGCTATTGGTATACACAAACGAAAAAGACGGTCGACCTAGATGGGTAGTCCCCTCTCAATATCGAGAAATAATGTTACAACACGCCCACAATGAACCGTGCAGCGGCCACCGATGCGAGGTGAATACGGGACAGATGCTGCGACAGGTGGCCTACTGGCCAAAAATGGGGGAAGACATACACAAACATGTGTCCAACTGTCTCGTGTGTTGTAAGTACCAGCCAACGACCTCACAGCATAGGGCACCCCTACAGAGGAGGGGAACAGATTATCCTTGGTCCAACCTACAAATCGACTGGATAGGACCTGTCAACCGATCAACCAAAGGGAACAAGTACATGCTAACTGTGACCTGTGCATTCTCTAAATGGACAGAGTGTTTACCAGCACCCAACAACACCGCGGAAACGACCGCTATCCTACTGATCAACCAAATATTCAGTAGATGGGGCCTACCGTCAACGATCGATTCAGACAAAGGAAGCCACTTCACAGCCGAGGTCATCACAGAAGTGTGGAAGATGTTGGGAGTAAAAAGACAATTACATGTCGCATACCATCCACAATCCTCAGGACAGGTGGAAAGAGCCAACAGGACCATCGTGAGCCTCCTAAAGAAATATGTGTCTACCACGGGCCGCGACTGGGATACGAAACTACCCCTAGTCTTGATGGCCATGCGAGCCACACCCAACCGAGCTACAGGCAGGACACCCTTCGAGATCATGACAGGGAGGCTAATGACCCTCCCAGTACACCTGTTATATGTCCCAGCGGAGGACGAGACCCCGACGGCAATGACGCCAACTGAATACCTGACGGGACTCAATAGTCACCTACAGAGCACATTCGCTATGGTCAGGGACCAGTTGCAAGTAGAGGCTCAGGGGAGCAAAGCATACTATGACCAAAAAGCCAGCCACGCAGAATACCAGCTAGGAGACCAGGTGTGGTACCTCAATTACGAGAAAAGGAAACAGAAGTGCAGGAAATTCCTGCCTTCCTGGACAGGACCACACAAGGTTGTTGACAAAATGTCCCCAGTCGTATATCAGCTAAAAATCACAAAGACAGGAAGAGAGCAGCAATACAAGTGGGTGCACATCAACCAAATCAAACCGTACCCTGTGCTGGTGGAGCAAGATGAGGAATAAAGGTGGAAAAGGGGGGGGGGAACTAAACTAATGGGCTTATCACACTACAATAATATGTAACATGTTTTCCAGGGAATGGCAGCCCTCCTGCTCACGCTCCTGCTAACGTACCTTGCCAAGCTAGAAGGGAGCCAAGAGCTGATCAAGCCAGGACCAGAATCCGGGGTGATGCTGAGAGACTCCTCCAGCTTCCTAGTAACCGAAACGAAAATAGTAACCCAACAAGTCTATGTCTCCTTGGAACCTGCCTTGGTGGTAAAGAAGCACTTCGGGAAGTTACCACCCCAAGCCACCAAAGCAACCCGAATATGGTATTATGACTTCCTAAGATATAGTGAACAGAATATCGGAACGATCCTGAAGCAATTACAAAGAACCATGATACTTCCCCCCACCACTGTCAACCTAACACGTTCCAAGAGGTCTATCGGCCTGGGAGGGGTCTTTGGAATACTATCCGGTTTTAGCTCCTTAATCACACTAGGAGTATCCATATCCAACGCCGTAAAGATTGGACACCTCACGCAAGGTATCGAGAATTTACAGCTCGATATGCATCAGATCCATCAGCAAATACAACACCAACAAAAGAATCTGGTCGAAATGGGATCCACCCTCCGAGACACCGTGGTTCTCGTAAACCTACATTCTATCATGATTAACTTAACATTCCAAGAATTGAGTTCTGCAATCCGAGGTCTATACGAAGAAGAGAGTATTCGAGAGCCAATTCAGTGGGTGATCCAAGACTTGTTGCGTAGCATCAGCGGCAGCATCAGTGATCTTATACAAGGACAAATTCCGTCATATCTGGTAACTCCAACACTGATAAAAGATGTGCTACAAGCAGCATCCCCGGAAACAATCAGTCCAACTCAAGTACAAATTGCCTTCAACATGGGTACAGCCACACCCATACATGTGGACCCCCAAACTAGACAGCTGGCATTTTTGCTAAATTTACCCCTGGTCAAACCCGGAAATGTATTTCGATTGCGGACAGTATTGAACGTGGGTACATGGAATAACGACATTTACTCCAAGATGGAAACTCCCTTAGTGGTGGCCTACCAGGAAGAAGGCCCCCTTAAGTACCTGGTGCCTGACCTAAACCTGTGTCAAATAATGAAAGAGGTTCATTGGCTCTGCCCAGGGGAACCATTTCTGACCAATACAGCAGAAATAATGTGTGGTCTGTCAAACCTAAGCTCCAAGGAAACTTGCAAGTTTAAGCTAAGTAAACCCAAAGAAAGAACCGGAACAGTGGCCATGATAGCTAATGCCCAGTGGTTGATTAGCACCCCTCTAGACACGGCAATTGTTTCCACCGATCAACACTCCATAACCATGGAAGTTCCGATTCCAAGCCACGTCGCACTGGTCACAATACCAAGAGGAACATTCGTACGCATAGGGGACAAGGTATTATATAACCTAGACAAAAGCCTACACCAAACGGAGGTAGAAATAGTAGACACATTCCGAGGCCACAAGTTTGAGATAAGCAGCACTCTGTCCAACTTGTTGAACAGTAAAGAATTCCATATGGTGAAATTATCCCTCAGCGAATCAGAGATTAACATAACAGATCTTACTTGGGCGACCGAAGAGGCTGGATATCAGCGAAATCAACAGATGGGGATGGGAATCACAGGGGCAACAGGGATGATCATACTAGTCCTGGCTATTCTAACCTTAACATACCATGTGGCCAAAATGAATGCCGAAATTAAAAGACTAATCGCAGGCACAAGCCACCTACCATTCAAGCCCAGGAACAGGGATAGAGCCAAGGCCTGATGATGCCACCCAAGAATAACCGTAGAAACTATCTTTTTAACGATATCTCCTATAACACGTAGTCAATAGAATAATTTTTCCCTCCCTGATCGTTTTACCTTCCTTTAGAATTTTTTTTCTTTTTATTTTTTCCTCTCTCTTGTCACATATAACCATGTTAAGTTGTGACACGTACGCGCGCGTTGTAAGGAATAGCAGCAAAACTTGAGGACAATCGATGGTTCATGATGGAAGAAGGGTATACATATTTTTTTTTAAAATAACCCGTGGCCATTTGACCACTGGTCATTTTTAAAAGGGCGGAATGTTGTATACTAACCCTTCTTCCAAAATTGAGATTAATAATATTTGATGATATTTTTATATATTATCTTTTTACTTGTTTTTTTTAATGAATGAAACACACCAAAGCGCAGCAAACTGCAAAACACCAGGGGTTGTTAAGTAATGAACTGGAGGAGGGCTAGGATGGCAGAATTTGCAACCTTGCTTCAAGGAAAGATAAGGCCTGATGAACGGGCACATGTCACCCGTGCAGGCGGCAGAGACAGTGGGAGTGTCAGCCAGACATAGTTAAGGCAAAAAGCCCAACCATCCTGCATGGTTTTAAAGTAACGTCAAAATTCGAAATTCAACAACAGAGTAGGCTAAATTATCGATCCTCGCGCTCGCTCAAATTGGAGACCAGGCTGCGAGCTACATCAATGAACCATTGCCCATTTGCTAATCCAATACTGAATGTTAATATTACTGAAGTCAAAACGAATTCTATGACCTCAGCACATGGGCAAATAATAGGGCAGTGTCGACTCAAAGGCAATGGAAGAAAGCAGAGGCGCCTTTGTCTAAATCACAACCACAGAAAGCCAGGAATCATCACTGATTGTGTGTTTAGGGATTCCGAGCTAGTTGGAACACGTGCACACAGGGGGGAGGTAGAAGTACGCCTTGTCCTCCTGCAGCTGAGGGAGCAAAGATAACCCCAAAAAGGCCAAGGAATTAAATTATTAAATCCAGGGTGAGTGGTCAAATGAAGTGGGTCAGCTCAAGGCTGTGTGCACAGGGGAGGGAGCTGATTTAAACAACCCTGCACGTCTGAACGTGAGGGGGCCTTTGACCTGAAATTAAGAATAACACTCCCAGAGCAGAAGGTTGGATGGCCACAGTGAGACGAGAATAAGAGTGTTGTATATCTCTCAAGGATGCAGACCCAGCTGAACAACAAGGCTGCGGGGGTCACCAGAAGTTCGCGTTCGCCTAGTTAAGACAAAAAGCTCAATTATTCTGTATTGCTATTAAAGTAACGTTAAAGTCGGAATTTAACAACAGGGTAGGCTAAAGTTATTGATATTCACACCCACTCCAATTAAACCAGGCCACAAGTTACGCCTACTGAACCATCACCATCATTAAGTCAATATGAAATGTTATTTCCATACTTTAATACTTTCTATACAACTCGACCCGAAGCATATGACAATCAGAACCTTCCTAAGTCAAAATTGAATCGCACCCAGACAGGAGCGAATAGTCGATATAAGGTTGAAGAGGGAAGGAAATTAAGAGCACGGCGAACTGCAAACTTAAGCAAAAAGCCGGGAACGACACCAGCCCAGCAACAGCGAGTCGGGCTTCGACAGGCCATAAAAGTAGAAATAATAACTCCCGGGGTCAGGGGACACAAGAAGAAGCAGGCAGACAAAAACCAGAACTGACTCCAAGGTTCAACCGCCCTCACCTACAAGGAGTGACGGAAATTAATGAGGCCTTGAGTTAACGGCGTCAGCTGGACAGCAACAACAACGGCGAGCAGAGATAGGGTGGGGCAAAGACTGCGGGGCTATGGAATGCAACTTCGTGTCAGTAAAGCCCTGACAAACAAGTTAAGTTAAAGACATCACAATACATAATATCGTACATAACATCAATGTTAACGCTATTCACCGTAAACTATATTCCGCTTATATAACCATGCAGACACCAAGGAATACGAATTCCTAGGATCAAGAAACTTACCCCTTAACCTAAGATATCGGAAATAAATTAATAATAATAAGCATATGCATGAAAAGACAAAAGTAAAACTTATGGAAAAGCCAGGATAACGGGATGAATCACCACCAGGTCGAATATAAATACATAATAAAAAAAAAACGATGTTAAACCCAGGGTCGGAGAGAAAGGGAGATCCCGGCCATCTTTGTATCCCCGCAGCGCGGGATAGGAGTGTGTATACGCTCGGGGAAACACCTCCACTTGAGTCAAGCACCACGATGGGAAACGACAGACCTTAGGTTACATACAGAATCATAACTGTGAAATAGTAAGGGACAAATGTTAACTTAAAACTTTTTAACCATTTCTTTGTGCGCCGGGTCGGAGAGAGTGTTGCCCCTCCCTCCAGGTTGTGCAACACGAACAAAGACGCCTATGAGACGATTTGTAACGTCTGTGTTTTGGGTTCATGAAGAAGGCCAGACAAGAGATAATATTGCACCCAGACAGAGAGACGACTTCGAGGCAATTTGTAACATCTGATTGTTTGCTCGTGGGTTTTATGGAGGGAGTGTGACAACGGAATATACCGTGGGTGATGCACGCAAGGACATACGGACGTACGGACACACACATGGACACACCTGCCTACGGACAGATCCTGACACAGCAAAAATCGAAAGAAGCCCCGCCTTGTGGGCGGGATCCAGGGGGATTTTTCGGCATAAAGGAAAGGATCCTGAGCATTGGAAACTAGTGCGACCAGCGGGTCGACTCAGGAGCGAGCTCGACCGGGAGGGTCGGCTCAGGAGCGAGCTGCGACCAGCGGGTCGGCTCGACTCATCTTCAGCTCGTCTGGGACTCAGCCGAGTTCGATCGGCTTACCAAAGCCGGCTCTCGGGGCTCGACTCAAGCGGCTCCCCATCTCCTCTGCAGGCGGGCAAGACCCGCTTGACAGCTCAACTCGGCCTGCGTGGGTCAACCTCTGCCGAGTCGGAGGTCTCTGCTGCCGCCGGAGTGGTGAGGGTCGCGGTTTGGCGACGAGGCTCCGTGCACACCCTGGTCGACGACCCAACACTGCACGCTGCGAGCGAGTTGTGGGCGCCACCTACCGACCGGGTTCCGAACTGCGACAGCGTATCAACGGGCATCCGAACCAGTTCACCACGGTGACAGGGGAGCGACTGATACGTATGACGCGCACCGCCCCCTCACCACACGACCACCAGGCGTCTGTTTGACATAAAGAATCGACTCCGAACACTGACTATTCAAGACAACTCTTACCACTCAAACACACTCGAACCCATAAGCCATCCGTGGCTGGGAAGGCATCACAACGAGACCGAGTGATGGCCATCCGTCGTTTATAAAAGTATTCGTAATTTTTATCTTTAATATTTAGTGGGCTGTACTCTTAATCGCATAAATTCCCAACAGATCCATCAATACGAACTGATTCTTGGCACCTCCTTCCGCCGAGCCACGCTCACGTGGGGAGTGGTGGCCCACCGGATCCTTATCAGGTGATCTGGTCCCCAATTAGTAAACTTGGTATAAGATAACGATCTTCGGAAAAGGAGCACCGTCGCAGGCCCTTACTCCGAGCCGTTCTGTTGTCAGATAACCTGCCGATGTATCTGTTGAGATTGGTGCCTTTAAGAATAATAACTGTTTTTGATTGTGTTTTTTTATCGCCGTATAATCTTTCAAGTATCTTTCAGTCATAATCGCCGCACGTACTCGCATCCTCTACAGAATATTCAACTGTCCCGTGACCCAAGGTGCTAACAACGTGATAAGGGTTGCGTATGATCAATAAGGAGTGCGGTACTGCGTGAACAATATTGAGTATAATCATTCATTAACGTTAAGGTTTTCTTAGCATAGTATTTGCATATTTTAACGACTCTCTCTCTCACTAACAACCATCGCGTTATGCGGGATCCATGTGCCGTTGTCAAAGTGAAATCAGACAATCGTTGATGATACTGTATTGATGCCGTGTTGACGTTCCGGGATTGAGAGTTCGCATACTATATCATAGTTAAGGTTGAATTAGTAATAAATTGATCAATACAGAAGTGGTTGTGTGATTCTTTCCTGAAATCTATGCATAAGATCTGCTTCTGCGTCGAGATCTGAATTTGGTGACCTTAATAAACACACTAATACATACTCAGTAAATGTTAAAGCGATAACGGGGTGAACCGGGGACCTAAAATATAACCACGAATACACACTCTGGGAATGTTAAAGCGAGAATGAGACGAACCTAGACAACGATGCCGAGTTAATCTAAGTTAATCTTGCATACTTACACCACACCTGCATAACTGCATACGATTAATTGCCTTATTCCGATCGATAACCCACCCTCGTCACCGAGGCGGGGTCTGGTTATCATAACGACTTGCATTATCATAATTACACCCACTCGCATAATTAATACGATTACCTCTCGAATTGGCATAATTAAAATGTGCATAATTACATAATTAACATATTTCCGGATAATTACACATTTGGCCAAATTTCATTTAATTATTATTATTTTCACTGAATATTCATAACCCACATATACAACATAATAATGTCACCCGCGCACGCATACAACATAACAAATTTTGATAACCAACATATACAACAGGCTGATGGTAAGGCCCCACCTCTTGGTGGCAAGCTCCAGGTTCAGCAGCAGCACCTCGAACTCCTCCTCTGAGTAAGCAGCAATTAGCAGATCATCGGCATACATTACGTGGTTGAGCAATAGGTAGCCATCCCTTGACCGCACCCAGGCATCGATGAGCCTCCCGTTGTATCTGTACCAGATGGTAATTCCTCCGAACTATGTGGTAAAAATATATGTAAAATAATGTGGGAGCCAGACATCCCTGTTGCACCCGAAGGTGTAAACTGTAAAGGGAATGGTTCTGACTCACGGCCACGTAGTTTGACGCGGGGCCGCTCACCATCATGAAGGTCCTTAAGAATCGTGAGCAGAGGGTCAGAGACTCCGAAAGCACGAAGAACAACCGAGAGCCCAGGCCTACTGATGGTACAATAAGCCTTGACCAGGTCAATAAAGCACACACATGGACTAAGACACACACAAGGTCCAAGAGACACGCAAAGAAATGGACTTACACTAACATGGAGCCATGCACACACAGCGACTAACACACACGCACATGGAATGACACACACGGACATAAATACCCAGGCAGGTGCTTAGTTTGGTGGGGCTGATGGTAAGGCCCCACCTCTTAGTGGCACGCTCCAGTCTCAGCAGCAGCGTCTCCAACTTCTCTTCTGAATGAGCAGCTATTACCAAATCATCGGCATACAAAACGTGGTTGACCAATAGGGAGCCATCCCTTGATCGCACCCGGGCGTCGATCAGCCTCCCATTATATCTGTACCAAATGGAAATTCCCCCGGTACAGCTATTGAAGGCTTCACGCACTACTTGGTCAAAATAGATGTTAAATATTGTTCGAGCCAGCGGACATCCCTGTCGCACCCCAAGGTGTACAGGGAAAGGCTCTGACTCCCGGCCACGTAGTTTTACCCGGGCCTGCTCACCATCATGAAGGTCCTTAATGATCGTGAGCAGAGGGTCAGGGACTCCGAAAGCACGAAGAACAGCCCAGAGCCCAGGCCTACTGATGGTATCATAGGCCTTGACCAGGTCAATAAAGCAGAGATGTCTTGTTGGAATTCCCTACACCTCTGCTGTAGCAGACGGACAGAAAATATGGCATCTGTGCAGGACCGCCCTTTCCTGAAACCGCATTGGGGCTCCGCAAGCCTCTCCTCAGCGTGCCTAGCAAGGCTATGTTGAATAATCCTTGCCAGGACTTTTCCCGGCACACTGAGGAGTGAGATGCCCCTGTAGTTGTTACAGTCTGTGTGGTCCACCTTCTTAAAGAGGGGGACCACCAGGGCATCCTTCCAATCCTGCGGAACCCATCCAGTGGTCCAGACTGTTGTTATCATGTCGTATAGGGCAGTCTGTGCACAAACGCCACCCTCCCTCAGCATTTCGCTTGGGAGATCATCTCTGCCCGATGCCTTTTCTGGTCTCAGACTCCGGATCGCCTTCAGTACTTCCTCAACAGATGGCACCTCAGCCAGCCACTCACAGGGGGTGACCTCTTCCAACATTTGAGGCACCGCAGCCTCAGCAGGGTTATCCCCACTTTGTGCCATGATGTTTTCCTGGTTGAGAGATTTTCCCTCCCCCAGGACCTCACAGAAATGCTCAGCAAATCTGCAAACCTGTTCCTGGGGATCGGAGATTGGATTACCGTTTTTTCCCCTAATGATGGTAATAGGTGTGACGCTGCAGGTTACTTTTTTGATGGAGTTAAATAGTGATTTGTGATCGCGGGCCACTGAGGCAGACTCTCCTCAGCAACCCGCGACCATCACCCATCCTTGCAGCGCCTTACGGCTCTCCGAACCTCCGAGCGAAGGCTGCGGTAAACCTCCTCATTCTCTGACGTGGGATGCTGTAGCCGATGAGAGTGGGCCTGTCGCTTTTTCTCAACTAACCTGAACACCTCCTCTGTCAGCCAGGGTTTCTGGGGAGGTCTGGACCGCGTACCCAAAGCAGCCATTGCTGCTGCATGAGTCACAGTCTTAAACCTCGCCCATTTACCCTCGACGTCAACTCACACACACATCAACGTGCACAGCAATTCGCGATGATTGTGTAAAGTATGAACTTGGCGGGAGACGACTTCACGGGTTGCACACCTCTTTATTAACACCAACTTCTCTTTACACGGGTGGCTAAGTACAGCCTGACACACCAGGGCTCCCTTGACTACACCCTCACGGGCTCTTACGCCTCGTAGCTCTCGGAACCCACCCAACCGGGGTATCCGTCTCGACTCTGGGTCCCACAGCCTCGTCCCACATGGACGTCAGACCACGGGTCCCACAGCCTCGCCTCCGAACCACACAGCGTCCTGGCCCTTATAAGGACCGCGGGACCAGGGGTTTCGGGGCCCTATCTCTTCAGCTTCGTCTTCGATCTTCAACTGGTTATCAACTCCCCGAGTGCTCCCTCGCGTCCTCCTTTATAGTCCTAAATGCGGACGTCGCTGAGAGCACCCACCCCAGTTGACCAATCACTGCGTGCTGCCTACGATCCTATTTCCCACATGGTGTCAGCGCGCACAACCACGCACCTCGCGCCGCCCCGTGATCCATCACTGTCGGCGCGTGTCAACACCACACCTCTTGACGTAGCCACGCCCGGCGCGCTCACACGCACGCCGCGCCTTTGTCAGCACGTACCACCACTACAATTGCACAGCTATCAGCATGGCAGTACTACATATCAGTAAATAGCGGGACGTGAGCAATCGAAACAATATAAATGCATAGAAGAAATAATCAGAAAGAAGTGTACATAAAATAGCAGCAAGTACATACAGGTAAGTTGAGAAAGCAGGCTACAGTCTAGATTATAGTCTGCCAGTACGCCGACTCAATGGCAATACAGGCAGCAGCTGAAAAAGCAGGACACAGTCGACATGAAAGTCTGGCAGTACACTTAGTGAGATAAAGAAGCAGGCAACAGATAATAGACTGACATACACTCATAATGGACAAAAGCAAAATTAACTGTAGATAGAGTGCCAGTGCACACATAGCACAGACTGGCAGTACACCATCGCATCATCATTAAAACGCACCAAAAAATGGAAATATTTAGCAACCTAATAATGAGAAAAATTTGTGCACACAAACATTATAATTCTAATATTAGCCAACTTCTTAGTTTAATAGTAAACAATGAAGCAGAGTCGTTATCTGCACACAAGCATAATGTTTGTAAAATTTGTAAACATTGGTTTAATAATAGTAAAAAATAAACCTGAGTTGTTAGCGAAAGATTCAATAAAATTGTACTTTACATTGGCGTAGTGACGCAGAGCCCGCGGCCTCGCCTCCATTGGCAAGCCGGAGGAGGTGAGACATTGCCAGGCTGCGGGCTGGGCCGCTACCCCCCCTCCACCATCCCCCCGCCCAAGCCATAATAATACTATGTTAGTGCTTTAATAAGGACTTTATAGCAGTATCTCACGCATCGTGTTGGGGGGCGAACAGGACATGAGACTGTGAAGAAAAATCCGCAGCGTTACGTGTGTTTGTGTAGTGCTGAACTTCACGCAGACAACTTCATTTTCCGTCGTCACTTTTTTTACAAACTCTTCACATTCAACACCTGTAACTTCGGCGTGATTCTCCGCCCTCCGCCGTTCGCTCGCCGCACTCCGCTCGCCTCGCTCGCCGCACTCCGCTCGCCTCGCTCGCTCCGCTTCGCCCCGTCTCTCTCTCCCCGACTCTCCGCTCTCTCTGCTCCGACTGACTCTGCTCTGACTGACTCTCGGCATCTCCGTCTCACTCCGATCTCCGTTCGACTGTCTCTCTCTCGGCGTCTCCGTCTCACTCCGACTCTCCGTTCGACTGTCTCTTTCTCGGCGTCGTCTCATTCCGACTCTCCGCTTCATCTCTCACTTGGCGTCTCCGTCTCACTCTTCTCCGTCTCACTCTTCTCCGTCTCACTCTTCTCCGTTTCACTCTGCTCTGTTTCACTCTGCTCTGTCTCACTCTTTTCTCGTTCCTGCTCCACTGCTTGTTCCTGCTCCACTGCTAGCCTGTTCTAACTCTCATATCTTCTTCTTGTTCCTGCTCCACTGCTTCTCTCCGATCTTCTCCGTCCAGCTCCCAGCAACAACGCCCCCGTTCCCTCTCTCACGTTTCCGTATATATCCCCGTCCTCATTAATTACCAATTAATTAAGCGGCGTTCCCACCGACGCCCCGCGGCCCCCACTGCCACCACTCCTATCTCCAGACTTGCTGGCGCCACCCTGCACCTGCTATATCCACCATCCAATCACCGCCACGCATCTTACAGCCACTTATTGGACCGTCTCCCTCCGGCCGCTATCCTCCCAGCAAGGGTGGGAAATGCTCCCTCGTCGACACGGGGCTGCGTCTCGCCCTTGATGCGTACCCACCCTCGTGACAGCGATAATCAGCTGGCGTGATCACATCCCGCTCTCGTGTGTCTTGGGGCGGCTCCCGAGGTTGCGGCTGGCCAACCGGCTCACAGCCAGAGAACCT